AAACTAGATAATGCTCAGAAGTATTTAGAACTGGAATTAAAAATAACGACCCTGCTTTCTATGTGTTAGAAATAACAGATCCATGATGATCACCTTTCCATCTCCATTATCAGGATGGCCTTGAAGAAAGAAATAATTGTTTTGTCCCCTCAACCGAGGACCAATGAAGATGCAGCTTGAACTGCCAGTGACTTCCAAGTGCTTTGGAAAAGGGCTTCTTAAAGCAGAGTTGTGTCAAGTCAGTTTTACCCTGCAGCAGTGCCCCCAGTTTGTTTCTCTACATGTAGAAGAAGAAATACCATGTAGAGCCAAGCTATTGGCTTGCAGGGAAAGGTTACTGGAGAACACAGCAATACTCTACGCATTGTTCAATCAAGTGGTAGCAGAAAATCAGCAAGCATTGAATATGCCCACACCTCTGATCTACCTGTGGCATGCTGGCTAGTCGAGAACATGTTGCAAACTGATGTGGAGAACTTGTGTCCAATTGCAGAATTGATGGGGTGGGCGGAGGAGAGCTGCTGGTTCCTGCACCGTGACAGGGAGGAATGGTATGGTTTGGGAACTCCACTTTCAGTTGAACTCTGCTATAAGCACAACACATGAAATCCCTTTCCTGTGTAAGATGGAGAATGTGTGACAGTTTCGTAAAGCCAGTTGAAATGGAAACAAAAGACATCAGGAATGTATGCAGTACTGAGATTATAAAAGACACTAGGAAAATTTAGGAATATTATGTTCTCAAAGAATCTCTGGACATCGGAAGGAAGAGAGCCCTTGTGCAAAAAGGGGATAAGACTGAGATGTGTAAAGTGATGGAAGAAACGAAAAAGATGCAACCTAGACTGAAAAATAGCGGGATGAAGAGGAAATCTCTGCTGGTTTAGGCAGCGAGCAGTATGAACAAGACCTATGTCTTCTCAACCCAGTCGAGAAGGACCGGGTGAAAAGGAAAGCAAATGGCTGTTACCGAAGTGCTGAAGGAGTGCGGCGTGCGGCGATGGTGCGGTGGCGGCGGTTCCCGCGGCAGAGGCAGCGGCGGCGGTCGGTGGAGCCGTGCGTGCAGTGCCGGGCGTTGGCTGCGGGCGCCGCTGTTCACCGCGGAGGAGAGGAAGGAGCCGAGCGCTGCAGGCAGCCCCGCCCGCTGCGGCCCGGCTCGCTCGCTCGCTCTGTCTCTGTGTCGGCGTCCGGGCGGGCTGCGAGCGGCCCCGCGGTGCGGAGCGGTGCTGCAGCGAGGCGGAGGGGCGGCGGGAGAGGTCGGCAGCGGACGCCGAGACGGATCCAGAGAAGAAGCCGGAAGATAGAAGAGGAAGCAGAGCTCGGAGTGGAAGCGGCGCGGCAGCGGCGATCGTGAGGTGGCGGCGGTGGTGCGGTGTCAGCGGGGCCGTGTGGGAGATGTGCTTGGCGAGAGAAGGGCGCTGGGGCCGGAGGCAGCGGGCGCTGCTGTGCTGCGTTTTGGTGGCGGCGTGGGAGGCGGCGTGGGGGCAGCTGCGCTACTCGGTGCCCGAGGAGCTGCCCAAGGGCTCGTTCGTGGGCGACGTGGCCAAGGACCTGGCGCTGGAGCTGGAGGCGCTGGGCGCCCGCGGCGCCCGAGTGGTGTCCCAAGGCAGGGCGCAGTATTTCGCTCTGCATGCGAGCAGCGGCCACTTGGTGACGGCCGAGAGGATCGACAGGGAGCAGCTCTGCCGGCTGCTGGAGAAATGCGTGCTGCGCTGTGAGCTGATCGTGGAGGGCGAGATGAAGGTTTATGCAATCGAAGTAGAAATCACGGACATTAATGACAATACGCCGAGCTTCAAGAAGTTAGACCTGGAGGAGAAAATGAGCGAAATGGCAGCCCCGGGGACTCGATTTCCTCTGCCTGTTGCTTATGACCCTGACGTGGGTGTGAATTCCCTGCAGAGCTACGCGCTGAGCGGCGACGAGCACTTCTCGCTGTCGGTGCAGGCGGGAGCCGACGGCGAGAAGCGTCCCGAGCTGGTGCTGGCCAAGGCGCTGGACCGGGAGGAGGCGGCGTTTCACGAGCTGCTGCTGAGGGCGAGCGACGGCGGCGAGCCGGCGCGGACGGGCACGGCGCGCATCCGCGTGGCTGTGCTGGACGCCAACGACAACGCGCCCGCGTTCAGCCAGGCGGTGTACACGGTGCGAGTGCCCGAGGACGTGCCCGTGGGCTCCACGCTGCTCAGCGTCACCGCCACCGATCCCGATGACGGAACCAACGGCGACGTGACATACTCGTTAAATAAAGCAACAGACCTC